GATTGGACAGATCTCCGTAAAGATCTCTGACCAACAGTGCAGGCAATGCAGGAGTCATTGGCCTTGTTGGAAGGAATTCAGACCAAAATTCTGTCTCAACTAAACAAAAATGAGGCCGAACAGAAAAGAAGAGAGTTGAATGAAATGATAGGATTGAAGGAATCATACCTCAAGAACAATATCTCTGCTGAACAGCTACAGGGACCAAGTGCAGCTGAAGCACTGTTCTTTCAAATGAAAACAAAGAAAGAAGATGGACCAGTTGGCAGTATACAAGTCACAACCTCCATCATAAACAACTTTCCCATATTCACAGGAGAGAAAAAAAATCCTGGTTCAAGTGGTGGATGATATTCAAATTGTCCATTACTGATTGCAATATCTCAAATATTCAACTAAAAACACTCCTATTGCAAAAAATACAAGGGTCAGCCAAGAACTTTTGCCTAGGAATGCCAGGACTGTTGGAAAAAGATTACAGGTACATTATTCAACAACTACAGGACATGTACCAGGCCAAAACCATCAATGGAGGAATAAGGGATCTCCAAACAATCTCTCAAGGTGCTAACAAAAAAGTACGAGACTTTTCTTCCCACATTAGATGAGTGGGAAATCAAATGTTAGGCAAACTGCCAAGTGAACTCAAGATCCTCAGAAGAGCAGGCAAGTTGTGCCCCCCATTACTTCCAATTTGATGTACCGAGAAGAACTGTTGCAATATCAAGGAAGCAAAAAACTTCTTGACAATTTAATGAAGACCTATTTTATCCAAGGATTAAGGCAATCAATTTATGCCAGATTCCCTGTGATCCCTTCCATCCTTGATCATGAAGTGGAAATGGCAATGAACATCAAATTGTTGCAGACTAGGATCCAAGGATCTGAGGATTACCATGTATATCAAGTCCGGAAAAACATGAAGAAATTAAATGCCTTCTGATTACAAGATCCCAAAAAAGAGACAAGATCTTGCTATACGTGTGGAAAAGTGGGACACCTACAAAAGGATTGTTACTGCAACCAAAAACCCCATGAAAGAAGGGACAAGAAACAAGTTGGATTCTAAAACAAAATGCCCTAGTACCACCAGAATGGAAGAAGCAGAGGAGGTCCTTCAATTGATTGTTCCCGACCACAAGGAACACCTTCTACACCATCTAGACAAAACTGAAATCAAAATAACAGCAGATATTCATCTCAAAGCCCTCCTGAGAAGCCAGAAGCAAGAGCCTGCATAGATCAAACAGCAATAATATGCAAAACCCTAGAAAACAAGAACAGGATCCTCAGGAAACATACCAACCTTTTGGATATCCAGCAAACAACCACATACATCATATTGCTGGGGATACTATAACTTTTTCTGACAACAAAGAAGCAGATTTGATGTACTCAGCAGAAGAATTCTCTAACTCAGGAAACGAGTACTGACCAGAGCTTCATCAAAGGAAGCCCCTCAGAAGCTACCAGTCATTCTCCTTTCAACAACAGCAACCAGCGTCCCTATTAAATTTTTAGTGGACACTTGAGCCAAAGTGTCTTTGATATCTACAAACATGCCAGACCCAACTATTTATCCTACTCTGACCTCTGCTACCATCTCCACACTAGAAGGAAATCAAGTACCTCTTTTGGGTGAAATTCAGACTGAATTATGCCTAAAGAATCCTGTCAAAGCTCATTTTTACATCACTCAGCTCAGAAAAACTGGGTTCAAAGGAATATTGGGAAGCGATATTTTGAGAAAATTACACGCAATTATCGACTACCCAAGAAATTTGATTCAGTTAAACCATCAAAAAATACCCTTCTTTGCAAAACAAGTATCCAAGTTTCACATCAAGAGACTATTCAATGCCATCATGGAAAAACCGGAAGAACCTCATCAATTTTGATTGTACCCAAGTGAGAAAATCAAGATCCCAAAGATGTCACAATGTGTCATCACAACAAAACCAGCAGTGACTCATATTTTTCCTGAAAATGGAGCTGACATCTACATTCACAACCAGCATCATGGAGACTTCATAGTTGGAAGAAGTTTATCCTCTATGAATGATGGAAAGGCATATGTTTTGTGTCTCAACGTCACCAACCAAGATATATGCATCAAACCTAAGCATACATTCACTTATGGATCTTACTTCCGATTGGATTGTCCAAAACAGATCCTCACCATCAGCAAAAATGATGCCAAGGAAAGGATACACAGAAAAACCAAACAACAGACCATTGAGAAATTAATCAACAAAAACCTTTGACATTCCAAATGCCCACCACAACTCATGACAAAAATGCAAAGTTTACTTTAAAAATACAGGAATGTATTGGCTTTAAAAACAGACAACCTTGGACTCTGTGAATTGTACAAAGCAGATATACCACTGGATACACCTACACCAGTGTATACACGCCAATATCCAATTCCTTTTGGAATGCGTCCCCTCCTTGCCGAATATGTGGAAGAATTATTGGACCAAGAAATAATTAGACCCTCAAAAAGTCCATATAACAGTCCTACTCTCATGGTGAACAAAAAGGATGGCAGATGGCGCATGGTAGTGGATTTTTGACATCTGAATGACCATGTCATCATGGATCCCCATCCGCTGCCACTCATTAATCAAATTTTTGAAGAACTAGGAAGCGCCCAATTTTTTACAGCATTGGATTTGCTGCATGGCTTTGATAACCTGAAGATAAGAGAGGAAGAACGTTGGAAGACTGCATTTTCAACACCCCTTGGACATTATGAATTCATAAGGCTACCAATGGGACTAAAAAATAGCCCCTACATTTTCCAATGACTCATGAATCTGGTCCTCAATGGATCCCTTGGGATATACACTTACATCTATATCAATGTCATTGCCATATATTCCAAAAATGCTGATCAGCTTTACCAACATTTATCTGACATTCAACAATGCCTGGATAAAGCTGGACTAAAAGTGAAATTCAGCAAATGCCAGCTTTTCAGGATGCAAATCAGGATTTCTAATCAATAAGGACGGCATAAAAGTAAACCCAGAAAAGGTCAAAGCAATCCAGAATTTCCCAATTCCAAAGGACGTTAAAGGAATTCAAGCTTTTTTTGGATTGGTCTGATATTTTTGATCATACATCAAGGATTTTGCCAATTGTGCTCAACCCTTATATGACCTTCTGAAAAAGGAATCAACTTTTAACTGGACTTCTGCTCAACAAACAGCAATGAAGGATCTTTGAAACTGCATGTTATCAGCACCAATCCTGTCATTCCTGGATTTTTCCAAGGAGTTTATCCTCACCACTGATGCCTCAGCATTGGCAGTTGGAGCTGTTTTGACTCAAAAGGAAGGAAAAAAGGAAGTTTTGATTAGCTGTGCATCAAGAACCTTAAACAAAGCCAAGCAAAATTATCCTAACACAGATCAAGAGATTTTGGCTGTTTTTTATGGAGTGAGCCAATTTTGCTCCTATTTATGGGGACATCCATTTGTGATCAAGACCAATCACATAGCAATTCTGTACCTGAGCCGTTTATGCCAAAACAACAGATGAGAAATAACTTGGTTTACCACATTAAACAAATATTCATATCGAGTTGAATACAAAAAGGGATTGCAAATTCCCCATGGGGACGCTCTTAGGTGGTATCCACCAACCAACAATCATCTGTGTGCATATTTATCACCTTCCTTGCAAAATGACAACCTGCTGCCATATATACCAACGACTATCATCAGACAAGAAACTCAAAAAATAACTCAACCACCCTCTGGACAACAGTATCAGCAAAGAAACAAACTAATATGGAAAGATGAGAAAGGAGAATGGAAATTATGGATCCCTCCAAATTTGCAACATCACAAATGGATGCTGCTGATGCATATTATCATACTATGCATGATAATATGCTGCTGTACATTATTCAATTTGAAACATGAAATTTTTATTCAAAAATTTTGACTATCAAATGATTCATCTTTTTTAGTTTAATCTTGATTTCCATTAATTTTTTTTTTTAAAAACAAATATATTTCTTCAATAATATTCAGCTCATTTGTGGTCAGCAAAATTGCCGCAGCGGTTCATCTTTAGAGTGACTGACATCTGTATAAACTCTGCTGGTACCCCTGAGTCAGAGATCCTAAATTGTTCCTTCCGTTCTGGCTGGATGAAGTTGCTGCATGACACTATATTACTCCTCTCTTGTGCAGGGTTTGGTACTTATTTCCATCCGTTTTGTGCATTCTCACCCGTGAGCGGTTCTGCCAACTACTGTAATAATTTTCCCTATACAGGACTGTATGTATCAATGGGATGGACCCAAATGCTCAAAGCTTTTCTAGCCATGGTCCCTCTCGTTCAGTCACCAGCGTGTAGGTGTCGCTAACTGATTCAGAGGCCTGTATTGCAAGCCCGGTGTGGAAGGCACTGCTTCTTGAGATGCAGGGAAGTCATGGAGAAGTGGTCTTTCAGCCTTCGCGGCAGCTCGTTCCACTCGCATTTCAAGTGTGCATTGACATCTATGTTGCTTCGTGAAGTTTAAGAAATCCGGGTGTGCGTTGCCGTGATTGTCATGCCTAATGATCCAGTGAGAAAAGGATACTGTGATATACATCGCAGTGCACTTATGCATGAAGTTTTCAGAGCTTGTTTTCTTGAACTCCGCCTTCCGTAGGTCGTATTACTGGCAACGTATCTCCTTCCATGATGATCTTTGAAGATATGTTTACGTACAGATTTCCTTCAGCTCCTTGTGATACAGTAAATCCTGAAGTACTAGGTGCTTGACGAAAATTGAGCAGTTCGAGCGGCCTGTTTATTTCTATTATTTTGTGGCGCTAATTAATCGAGGCTTGTCTTTGGTTTTGTTGGATTCATGTGGTAATCCACGCAAGTGTAGCAGAGTTTCAACGATTACGTTGTTTGAAAAATCGCTTGTATTATTTTCAAATCTGGATCGCGAGAATTTTCGGAAGCACTGGATATTTTTTACCTATATATCTTTGGTTATCTGCTTTGTTCCAGGTTTCCTTTCTTGTTCGGTGTTCAGCTAATACAATGTCTCGAATCACAACTGAAGTGAATGTGGACAAGGTGATCGTCCATCCGTTGGTTCTTTTGAGTGTAGTCGACCATTTCAATCGTATGGATAAGACCGGCGCGAAGTCCCGCGTTGTTGGAGCTCTTCTTGGGAGTTGGCGGGGTAAAACCGTGTTGGACGTATCGAATTCCTTCGCAGTACCTTTTGAAGAGGACGACCGGGACCAATCCGTCTGGTTCTTGGACCACGACTACTTGGAGAACATGTACAACATGTTCAAGAAGGTTTGTTGCGAATGTTTTTGGCGTGTTCTACTTTACATTCGTATTATTCGGGTAGGTGAACGCTCGGGAGAAGATCGTTGGATGGTATCACACCGGCCCGAAGCTACACCCGAGTGACGTCGCCATCAACGAGCTCGTGCGTCGGTTCTGTCCCAATTCCGTGTTAGTGATAATAGACGCGAAACCCCGTGAAGTCGGGCTTCCAACTGAAGCATACGTTGTTGTGGAAGAAGTACACGACGACGGTACTCCGACATCGAAGACTTTCGAGCACGTACCGAGCGAGATCGGGGCGGAGGAAGCGGAAGAAGTTGGTGTTGAACATTTGTTGCGCGACGTGAAGGATACTCGGGTCGGTACTTTGAGTCAAAAGATCACGGATCAACTCCATGGTCTCAAAGGACTCCATTCTCAAATCCGGGGAATTCACCGCTACCTGAGCCAGGTTCGTTGATTTTCTCCACTGAAGGATGAATGATCGTTCCCTGTTTCAGTGATGAAAAATTCCCCTGGATAGTTTCACCGTACAGGGTATATTATATTCGAAGGTCTGCGATGAATACTGTACGAGCCATTCTCGTGTACTGTATGTTCGCAGATAGTGAACGGAAGAATGCCTGTTAGCCACCAGATAATCTACCAGATTCAAGATATTTTCAATCTTCTGCCGGACGTGAACGGCGAAGAGCTTGTTCAGTCCATGATGGTGCAGACCAACGATCAAATGCTGTCCATTTATGTCGCTACACTCACAAGATCTGTCATTGCGTTACATAACCTCATTGGCAACAAAGTGACTAATCGGGATGCGGAGAAGAAAGAAAACCTTGCTGGGAAAGTCAAGGAGCAGGAGAAGGAACTTAAAGAAAAAGACGAGAAGGAAAAACCCAAGGAAGAAAAGGTGGATGAAAAAGGGGACGTCGAAAGGATGGAGAATTGAGAATATTATTCGGCTGAACCCTGCCGTTGATTCAGTTCCAGCCGTCTGTTTTAATTTTATTCTCGTTTTCTCGTGGAGCTATTGGTATAAATTTGTGCGCAACATACTGGATACTTTCTTTCAAGTACGCGCGCCTCATGTATAAGAATTCCTGAAGTACCCTAATTTTTCGTCTTTCAGATGGAAGTGGAATCATTGGTTCTAGATGTTCCTGACTTGCAACATGTCGCAACTGGTTGGTATTGCTTGTTTTCTTCTCTTTTCTCAAGCGTGCTTCTCGAAAGCCTTCCGTCGCTATGTTCTCGTGATGTACTGCTTGGTGGAAGTTTGTTTCGAAGTCATTGAGTGACTTACAGTTCATCAAATAGTTTCCGTTGAATATTTTGAGACGCATAATTCTTTGCTTGTTTAATTACCGGAAGACGTGTTCATCTGAGAATTTCATTACTCTAGTGAAGTGGTTCATGAATTTGAATACTCTTCTTGGACTTCGCGAATTCATTTTCGCGTTGTTCCCTCCAGTTCTGGATGCGGGGTTGAAACAGCATTTCAAGAATTCGTCTGTGAGGGTGGTCGATTGCCCGGATTTAACTGCGGAACCTTTTTGCCTTGCTGCACCTGGTCTGTGCGGCAATCCGAGGATTGTGGATGTCGGTGGTGTTAAAAACTTGACGCCCTTGCCGAACAAGACCGTGTTCTATGATTTCGGAAGTATTGCACAATTGATGCCGGAAGTGAATTCTCCTCTCATGATCGGTGCTGGGGCCGGGCCGCATGACTATGTTGGAGTCAATTGCGAGATGGTATCGAATTTGAAGTTGGGGGATGACGGCCTGTCAAATCAGTCCCGTGTGTCTTACGTGGGGGAGCAAGGAAATGTTGTCGTGAAAGAATTGCCGGATTCTCAGGCCAGGTGTGCATTGATGATGAATCTCCTGGTGTCTGAGGGAAAGCCAGGGAAGGTGAGCCAATCATGATGATGGCTTTCATTATGGAAAATACTTAGTCTCATACGTAGTCATAACTACTATCAGTTACTGAACTCATTTGATGCTAACACTTTTTCACTGCTCACTTGCCCTGAACTGGCAATATTGCTTCAACTTATAACGTTGCTATCAAGAATACCTTTCTCAGGATTCTTCCTTTTTGCTGTTGTGTTGCAAGAAGTATGTCAGCGCCAATCCAAATTGGTGGCTATTTGCATTCTGATGACCTCATTTGCCAAAGTGTATGCATACATGTGAGAGCTGAATGGGAGAAAGTTGCCTGCATCATGAATGCAGGCGCCCCCCCCCCCCCCCCCCCCCCCCCCCCCCCCCCCCCGCCCCCCCCCCCCCCCCCCCCCCC